TATATAAAACATATATATAAAACATCTTTTCTTGAGTGATTAAAAATTTGTCATATCTGTATGAAGTTTAAAAAGTCGTGTTGTGATTATGATATAATGGATGTAACATTATTTTTTAAATTAGATAATTTATTTTGATAAATAACAAAAATTCTAATTGTAATTTATTAATGCCAATTGATAATTTCGTACATAATGACAAGTATTATATATTTATCGTGGTATCTGAAAAATTATGATAACCATAGCAACATATACATAAAAAAAAAATTGAATTAAAAAATACTGCGAATTAAAAAATAGTTTTTTTCGCATTATTTTTCGCATTATATTTACACAAGACAGTAACAACTATCAATTTTGATAAAAGCTTTTTTTTCATTGAGCATTTATCTGTTATTTACTAATATATCTCATATACTTAGCTTACTGTGAACATAATAAATGAATTCATTTTGCATAATTTCAGAAAAATAGAGTATACTCAAATATGTGAATTAAAAAATAGAAATATTGCATAAAAATTCGATGTGACGGTTATGAAAGTTTTTATTATCTTAAACAATATTAAGTAAAAATCAAAAAGTATTTAAACACAAATAAAAGAAGAATGCCAAAGGCATTTTCAGTTAAGTGGATTTTCCTATGTGAATATACAAATGCAGTTAGTTCTAGACTGCGCAATAATTAAGTTAATTGATCATTGATTAAAATAAATTGATAGTATTACTAAATCTTAAAAATTTGTAATAATCGCAAAAAATATCACTTTAGCTACTTATTAATAGAACATTATTATTAAATCGTCGATTAATTAATTTAATTAGAGATTATTTCATTATTTATGATTGTGTTTCAAATCTGATTATTCAAATCATAGAATTTAATTGTATTGATAATGTATTTGTATATTTAGATGCACATATTATTAAGCCAAAAAACCCACTCGAAGATATCTTTCACTTATTTTATTTTTATTATCTTAGTTATTAATAGCTATATATAATAATTTATAAACTATTATTAAGTGTAAGTATTTTTAATAAAAGTCATACAAAATTAGTCGAAATTATTTATATTTAGACACTTTAAAATTGATTTCATAAATTGATTCATAAATAAGTTAATATTATTAATGTACACAAAAAGATGCAAAATTAAATAGAATTTCAATGTCGCTTTTCTTCTACAACAATGTAAAATGATTTGCTTTATTATATTGCTTTATTATCTTGCTTTATTATATTTGTGCCATATTGTAAGTGGCTGTCATTACAGAAATTATGTATTTTGCAATTCCAATAATAAAAAAATTAGCAAATATGTTAATATCTTACTCGATATGATTTTATTTCGATATGATTTCGAAGGACGAAAGAAAAATGTTTTTGTATTAAATTTGCATTAATACAAATTAAATTCTTATTACCTTTTTGGATAGTTTGATAATTAATGTTAAAGGTGAATAATTCAATTTATTAGAAAAAAAATAGTTTGATATTGATTGATTTGCTGAATAATATAAACAAAATTTATTTATTTCTTATTGTGCAAACTTTTTGTTACTGATATATTTTAAATCTTTTGTTTTTGGAATATGTAAAATCCTGAAGTATGAAATGAAGATTCAAATTATTATTTTATCTCTTATAAGTAGATAATAGAGATCTATAATACATTAGGAATTTAAATATGGTTTTAATTTATGATAATTGCAATAGAATCTACGCATCTATACATGGCAATTTTAAAAACCTGACGAATAAATATCAATATGAGTCTATAGAAATTGATAGAGCAATTTTTGTCCATACACATATATGCATAATTACAACATTGAACGTATAAATTCTTAACATCAATGTTTAATAATTGTTTATTAGGAGAATTATGAGCACTTAAGGGGAATTTATTGTTATAATGTGATTTTTGAAATTGTCAACATAAGAAGTCAACATAAACACGGAAATATAAATTATAAACATTCTTCTATCAAGATGCATGAACAATTTTTCATTCGAAAATATTGTATTTAATAAAAAGTAAAAAAAGCAAAAGCGAAAAAATTTTTCACGCTTCGGGTAATTGTACGTAAAACAAAATAAGAAATTAATATAAAATTAATAAAATAAATATTTCATTGGAGAATGTTTTATGGAATATTTATAAGAAAGTGTAAAAATATATTATACTAATGTTAATACAAAATTAATATAAACTTTGAAAAAATAACACAAAAATTGGAAAAATTAATTATTTAAACAAAAATCACATATGTAATTCTCAGTATCATCAGCTCCACACTCTCTTCACGGATCCATTCAGAATATAGACAGCATTAAAATCTAGATACAAATTAAAAGTAACATAATGTCAATGTTATAATTTTGCAATATAACTACTAAAGAACACACATAAATCAACAAAAAATTAAAATGACGTCACAACAATTTTATTTTGATGTTCAAAATCAATAAAAAATCAAATTTTGTTGAAAAAAATCATTATTTTGACATCAAAATACGTCATTTTAACTTTCTCTCAATTTGGTGTGTTTTTTGGGCTGTTATGTAACACTGTATGGAATACAAAATTATAATATTGATATCATGTTACTTTTAGTTTGTTGACTAAGCAAAGTTATATCTTTCAAATTCTTTGCATATAGTGTTACTTTTCATTGGAAGGAAACTTTGAATTGTCAATGCGCACATTTACTCGCCGCGAATCGATTTGATAAGAAAAACGATTAATCAAAAACTTTTTAACTAAATTCAATGAATAATAACTTAAAAGACGCGTATAATAAAGTACTTTAGAAAGATATATACACAATTAAATAAACAAACAAATACAGACTTACTATCTTATTTTCTGGATGCTAAAATTATTATTAAAATATATAATTTCATCTTTTCTCACTTTTGCTATTAACATTTTCAAATTATATAACTTATGGTTATATCTAAAAGGAATTACGTTTAGTCTAGCATTTTTGCTATGGCATTTATCGGAAAACCAAAATGCGCACAATTACTTAACTTTCCCTTAATTACGAAACTAAAAATTTTACAAATTTATATTTAAAAGTATGTTCTCCTTTTTGCTCCTGAAAATTACGTTAAAACTTTAATAAAATTTATAAAACGTTGATAAAATTTTACGAGTAAAATTTTAACTAATATATATTATAAATTTTATATAATAAATGTTACTCTTATTAAAAATGTATACACATAGAATTGTGCTAATAATATAATATCTTTAAATATTACAAATACTAGATATGTTACGGATATACATGTAATTAATGTAATGTCCGCTCGTGTATTATATATTTTTCGTATTTTTGTCGCATCGCGAAAAATGCATAATGTTTTGAAATATAACTTGTTACATTGAAACTTAAATAGATAATCTTACCTAACAATTTTTCAGATATAAGAAATAATATACATTTTTTTTGTAGCTCCTTTTATTCATTCATGTGGTTCTAAGGATCCAAACTACAACCAGTGCATTAAAAACAATATTGACGATATAAAAAATAAGATCTGTACAGGGATACCAGAATTGAATATTCTACCATTAGAGCCATTAATTATAAAAAATCTGACTATTTTTCACACTGACAGTTTGAAGATTAATATAAGAGATGAAAAACTATATGGATTTTGTGATTTTGTCGTAAACTCTGTTTACCCGGATTCTAACAAGGATCATTTCAATCTTGATTTAAATTTCAAGCATCTTCATTTGAACGGTACATTTGACTTTGATTTACGAGTACTGATGCAAATTACTCATAAGGGAATGAATGAAATTACTCTAGATAAGTAAAATAATTAACGTAAATCTTATATAAAAATAAAATGTGAATACTTAATGAAATTTAATTTAAAATAAGAGACTAAAAACTTACATACTTACAATTTTTTATAATTGAATATTAAAATTATCAAACTTATTGTAGATAAAGTTGGTTTAAAAGCAGAATTAGACTTGAAAACAATAACTAAGAATGGCAACAAATACATATATGCATCGAAACTAAGCATGAATATCGACATCAAGGATTTTATTTACAAGATTGATGAAAGCAGAAAGGAATTAGCTGATTTATATAAAATAATAAAAGATGTCATAAACAATAATAAAGAAGCTATTGTGAAGCAAGTTAAACCGTCCATAGAAAAAGAGATCTCCGAAAATATTATTTTAGTTTTGAATCATGTATTTCGACGTATCAGTTATGAAGAGTTATTTTCCGAAAAAACAAAAATTATCTAAAAATTTTATGAGCTTTTAATTAGCTTGTTTTACAAGAATCTTGTAATTTTCGTCATAAATTTTGTCATAATATTTTAAAATTTGAGATAACTGCAAGATAACGAAAGAAAACAATTATTATTGATATTAAGGAACAATGCACATTAGTATAGATTTTAATAGTTTATATAATCTATATAAGAGAGACCACAGTTATTGGCACAAGTTAAGCATTCCATTTATGTATTTTTGATGAAAGAATGTAAAAGTTTCTATTACATCTGTTGCAAAATTTCTTTTATAACATAAGTACTTTTCATTTAAATCAAATAATTATTACAATTAAAAAAAGGAAATCTAATTCAAATAAATTTTCGAATATTTCAAAATGTCGTATTAATATTCTTCAGTTTGAGAGAATAAATCTAAGTGACGATTATTAATTAGAAGAAAAGTTTTTATTACTGGATGTTAATGTAGATATCTAAACATGGATGTTAATTTCAGTAATAATAATAATTTATTATGATAAACAATAATTGAAATCGAATGTATATAGAGATGAAATAACTTTAAAAGGAACAATTTTTATTAAGAAATACATATCTGTGATACAATTAGTTTTTTATTTCTATTACATTTTTACTAGAAGTGTAAAGAGATTATGAGCAATTTACACCAGTGATATATACCAGTTTATCTTATTATTGAGATAAACTGATTACAATTGTATGTTCGTTTCACTTAATACAAAGAAATTATATAGAATCGTTCCTAGCAGAGAATGATAATGCAGAGAAAGATTTTCTTTATCATATTTAGTATAGTTTAAACATAATAATTAATTGTTTAAAAAGTTAAATTATAGAAATTATAGAAACTTGCCAAAAAAGGTCCTGATCTCTCTTATATTTTTAATATATATTTAATACATATTTTTTAATATAATTTTAAATATGTTTATCGAAATAAGAATTTTAAATCGAAATAGATAATGTTGTAAAAATTATCAGAAATAAATGCTTAAATAAAGATATATATATATATATAATATTGCAATATATATAATAGATATATTTATCTTATTTGTAGTTTTATTTGTAACAATAAAATCCCAAAATCTTATTTACAAAAATTAAGTTATCTGTTAAACTTAATGACGTACTTTTTTGAAAAAATTGAACAGATACAAAATTCTTTTAAAAAAAGCAAAAAACATTAAAAACGAAGTCAAAAACGTTTTATATAAAAGCATTAAAAAAATTTTAGATTTAGGAAATAAGCATCTCGATATGAATGTGCCACGGATCCAAAGTTTTGGATCCAAAGATAATCGGAAATTTATTAATTTTTTTAACACCTCTTGGTCATTATTTTTCGTAAAGAAATTACTAGGGGAGACTGGAGACAGTTGTAACGGAGATTAGTAATAATGCGTATATCTTTTAAATGATTAGAGATAATTATATGAAAAACAAAAACAGTCGGTATTAAGGCCTATGTTTGCCTCATGACATCAATTGCGCGTGCGCAGCATATAAAAGAAGTTTTATATTATATATAGGGTGCTCAGATAAGCCATGTAAGTAAGTAAATTTATGATGTTATACTTTTTTGCTTTAAACTTTCAAATAAAATGCTTTTTATCATGTTTTCATTTTATTAACTCTAAAAAATATGTTTCCTTAAACTATGTGCATGTCTTTTTTTTGATATTTTTAAGGTTCAATATATTTATATAAATTTTGACAACATCGGTTTGAGGTTAAAAGAACCGCACCAGGATATTGTAACACCAATTACAATTAACGGTAAATATTAAGAAAAGCTCGCTCATCAAATTTTGATAAAAATACACTGAATTGGTGCGTTTTCGCATCGATTAAATAAAAAATAAAAATAAAAATAAAGATTTGACAAGAAAAAAGTATTGCTCTGCTTTGTGAACCAAAATATTTTAAGTTGATGACTATTCAAATTAAGAAATCTGTCACAGTCACGAAATATTGCGATGCAAGTACGCGCTGAAGTCACATTTTCATGCTCTATGGCCACAAATGCGTTGTAAGTATTTCTTACTGTAATATATATTATTCACTGCTTTACAAACACAAATTCACTGCTTTAAAAACAAATTATCTATTCTAAAACACAAATTTATTGTTTCAAAAATACAAATTCCTTGCTTTTTAATAGTAACTAGCCCATCGCAAGCGCGCACTATGCACGCGCTAACCTCAGGCAATCTTAATTTATCTTTTTAAATTGATCTGTATGATAGTTCATATTAAATTGACATAAATCCCTAATAATTTCAATTGTAATTAGTCTTTTTGTGATGGAAGAAAATCTTTTAATTTTAAAACATTTCAATTCATGATCACTTTATATTTACATTATTCGACATACATATCTATTCAATTTTTTAAATAACGACAAAAAATATTATTAATCATTTTTTCTTTCAAATTTTTATTTTTAATCTGAATCAACGTATCTAAAAATCTTTATGCCATATTGGATCAGGAATTTTTTAATTTCAATTTTTAAGTTCAGAATCGAATTCCGTGTCAATGAAAAATCCTCTTGTATGTATCTCTCTCTAAATCTTTGTTCTCTCCTTCTAGAACTGTTCATAAGGAAGAAATTATCAATCATGAAACGATAAATGGGATGGTTCATAGTCCATTTATATATTACTGGTATTATATTAAAAGCTAAATATATTTTAAAATGTTAATATAGTTCTCGGATTGACTTATGACATAAGACTTTACTTAAGTGTTAAATGCAAGAATCAACTATTCCGACCTGCTTTGCGTTGTGAAATTGAGGTTTGAATCTTACCTTATTTACCCCTAAATCATTAAAAGTTGCAAAATCATGCCACATATATCTTCTAACTATACAATATATACCTTCAATTTATATGCTACTACTTCCAAGCAATTTCGATTTTTGCGCAACCCTTAAGGGACTTCCCTCTTGGCAAATATACCTATACATTTCTGAGTCGTTTAAAATTGCAAAATTATGCTATCTAACTATGCACATTATACCTTCGATTTATGCTCTACTATTATATTTTCAAGCAATGTTAATTTTTGTGTTGCATCTCAAGGGACTCCCCTTTTGGTGCAGACATATTCATCTCTAAGCCGTTTAAAATTACGCTACCTGATTATACAAAATATATCTTCGATTTATGTGTTACTATTTCCAAGCAATTTCGATTTTTGTGCTGCAATCCTTAAGGGACTTCCACGTCTGCCTAGCTGACCTCCTCACCTTAACCAAATTAAGAATTATTATGATAAAATGTATTAATTATTCTAGAAACTTTTCAATGTAAATTTATAAATTATTGAATGATTTCTATATGGTGATAGGCAAGAATTATTATGACAAAATGTTTTAGAAAATTTAAAAAAAAAAATAAAAATTATTTTGCAAGAAAAATATTCTTTAATAACGTAAGATACCACCTCCGCACATTTTTTTAAGCTACAGAGATATTCCTGAGCCAGAGCGTCGGCCGAGCCTCAAGTAGTAGTGAGGGTAATGCCCCGGAATCGGCCCGAAATATGAAAATCTTTGCGAACACTGATATGCATTGTACAAAATGTGCACTATTATATAGTTTAAATATATAGTTTAGTTATAGTTATATAGTTTAGTTTCACATATTTTTACACACTATTGAACTATTCAATGATTAGTATGAGAGTGTAAATTATTAAATATCTGTACCAATGGCTATTTCAGTAGTTCTTATTACATTCTAAAATTTATATTGATCAATAGTTTATAATTGTAGTGGAAACTTATTACTAGTGTTATAGCATTCAATATAGTAGTGTTGAGTGCTTATAATTATTGTCGTTGAATAGTTATTATTAGCATTCTAATAATTACTATTGGCATTCCATTAGATACTATTGATGTTCTAATGGTTTTTTGGTACGATACTTTTAATTTGTAAAACCTTCTTAATTAAGCGACACCCTTCACAATGATTTTCCAACTTAACTTTAATAACTAATTAAAGAAAAAAATTTTTGTAATAATATATTTTGTTAATTTTAGATTGCAAAATAAATATACAGGGTGATTGAAAATTAGTGATAAATTCGCCTAGCCTACCGCCAAATGCATACGCGACGAAATAAGACTGTTCAATGCGGTGAAAAGTGCGTTGTTAAGCATGTAACATAATGACAGCAATTGTCGCTTAAACGTGCCTAGCGACGGATGCGCACCTCGCTACGGGAAGCGGGTACTATCCTGTCACGTGTTTGTATTTGATGGTGGGACGAATTTGGCTATTTTCATAAGTTAATAACTTACAATTGTCGTTGCGACAATTGTAAAATGATAGAGGATTTTTTTTCTCAGTTTAGTCCATTCTGGCTCTGCGCGAAAGATTTATCACTAATTTCCAAACACTCTATACAGAGTGTCTCTTAAGTAAGGGCTGCATTGGGGACGTAGAATGAGTCAAGGAAAACGAAAACTTCTTATACCATTTTGAGGTATCCGCTGTAGTTTTAGGTTTCGAATTAAAAAAGAAAACGTCTAAGCCAATGTGCGATGAAGCCGCGCCGCATAGCGATGGTACGCAAAAAGAGCGAAGAGAAGGATAGCTCCGTCTCTCCTACGCGCGCGCGCCGTCGCTATGAATTGCTATGAATGTGCAACTTTATCGCATTGGCTTAGACGTTCTTTTTTCTTTCTTTTTTAATTCGAAAATTAGCGGATATCTCAAAATGGTATAAGATGTTTTCGTTCCCCTTGACGCATTCTACGCCCGTAATGCGGACCTTATTTAAGAGATATCTGTATACACACACGCGCGCATGCACACGCGCGCGCGCGCGTTCACACACACACACACACACACACACACACACACACATCAAGTGATATTGTAAATGTAACAACTTGTCTCACAGTGGGGCAAATTGTTACAATTTACCTGGTGATAGAAAATCTTAATTTTCAGTAAAGACATAGATATATAT